GCATATGTGGAAATGATAAACAAATACTTTTTGGTGTTGCTGTCCTTCCGAACACTAACCGAACCATGGAGCCTCATTGCGCGCAAACGATTATTGACGGATACCCAATCCGTCATTGAGGCGTCAGCCTTATCGTTCAGTAGGAATTCTACACCACGCAGACCCTGTGGGCGGGCTTCATCATCTCCTAGTGTACAAAAGAAATACCTCCAGGACAGACCCGGCGTATTCAGATGGTTTATGATACTAGGATTCTGAATTCGTGTCTTCGATACGCAACAGACAGCAATTTCTAAAGAATTTATTGTACACGCAAGACACGCTTTTTGGCCCATCTGAATCAAAGTTATTATGTTGAAGGCACTCAGATTGAGAGGTTGATGAGGCTTCAAAATCTGCACTTTATTTACAAACAAACTACTTATAGTGTTATTTGGTAACAGTTCCATTTTCAGAGTATCAAGCTTGGATTAGCCCATTCGATTGTTCAGAGGGTTAATCCAAGCTTGATACTCTAAACTGATTGAGCCATTCGCACAAGGTAATAATCGTCGACCATGTAGCTCAGGGGCAAGGGTTTGAAGTCCCGACCCGACTGATCGCGGTTTGAGTCCTGACAGGGACACAAAAGGTACGCACTGCTTACGTGTCTCAAACATGACGAAACAGCTGTCCAGTGCTCTTCGTTGGTTATCACAAACATTTCCATCGTATTTCAGTTTCAGTTTCAGTTTAAACGCCCATTAAGCATGCATTTCGGTGCCACGCTTTTGGCTGTCGATTTGGGTGAACCACAGGAGGAAAACAAGATGGTTGAAGGTAGAATGGAAGAGCAAATTGACAACAAACTTTGACGAATGACAAACAAGTTGACCGGGGTTTCGTTATGGGTCGGAAGAAGGGGCAAAGGGACAGGGTTGGGCACAGAAGACAAAGAATCAATCGAAGGTTGGAATGTCTGAGCAGTAGCTCACTCATCACTACCCACTCCGTTCGATGCAACGGGCAGCACGGTCCAGATTACCTTGCGTGACGACCGATGCCGTATGGAATTATTTTTAGTTTCTGTGAATAATGGAGGATTTGACTAAATTTCAAATGGGAATTCGTCGTGTATATGGTGAATAAAGCATGAACTGAAAAGTCAGGAAGCACTGGACAGCTGTTTCGACCTGG